ATCTCACCAGAGGGTTGACGTGTTCCCATCTAATTTTCCATCTGTTTCAGATATAATTTTTCACCCCTGCCAACTGTTAGTCATGTATCACTAAATTCCAAAATATGTGGTTCTGTAAGTAAACTTTAAAAAATGAAAAAAGAAGCTAAATTTGAACTGAAATTAATTCCTCAAACAGATAATTTGCTTCGTCCAAATTGGAAATGGAACACAAACAGTTGATGATAATGTTTTGGGAATAATTTGAAGCAAAAAAAAAAAAAAAAACTAGACACCAAGTCTAGTTTCTAGATTAAGTGTCTTGAAATAAGACAAAACTAATTTCTAAGTAAGACGCTGGAGATTGCTGTCAATACTTATTGATATTGATGAAAAATTACTGGTTATAAGTGAAGTAATGTGCAAATGGAACAAGACGTTTAATTGATGAGAACAATGTAGTGCTCCACTTCCTCTTTTTCATCAATATTAAGGAATTAACTTAAAACAGGATCCTGTGTCTTTCTGAAAAGTTTCATCAAACGTTGACAAGATTTTGTGTTTTTGCACAGCATAATGTACAAAAAATGTGATTACTCAAAATATCAGTGATTTTGTATAAGCTAAGGAAGAACAAAAGGTTGATGGGAAAGATAGTAAAAATGTAAGCATAATTTTATCAATTAGTTAATTTTCAAAACATCCACCCAGTTGTAGCCTGCCATCACTGCTCATCTAAACCTCACTTTATACAGGAGTCAGGATCAAAATGTTCTCTGCTGGGCGGCTGGTTTAATTATATTTCACCGGCCATACTATGCATTAGCACTGAAGTGATTAATCTTGCCACAGAGCTGTCACTAATTATGCTGACTTCACTTAAAAAAAAAAAAAAAAGAATGTGGCAACTAGTGGAAGATGCCTCCTCAGCACCGCTTTCTGACAAAAACCAGGGTGGGGGCTGGGTGGATGGCACATAAATGAGGCAGTGTGGCAAGTTCATGGGATACTGGGTAAATTAATTGCAGGCCGATGCCTCCAATTAGACCTGACTCCCTCTAATTGGTGCTGAATGGGCTCCAAAAGCCTACGGTGGGCAATATGGCGAGGAGGGATGAGCCCTGTGTCACTCTCTGACGAACAGAACTTGCGCACAGAAGCGCAGCGCAAGACCCACCCTTCAGGAATTAACAACAGGGAGCTGATTTGCATGTAAATCAGCTTTGATAGCCACAGCTGACTGGTCAGGGAGCAGAAGTAATGACCAGAGATGGCACTCGGGTGTTAACTCCTTTCACACAGCTGCTGACACTGATTTAGCTTCCCTGGTGCTGTGGCTTCCTGTTTGTGAGGCCACCTTGAGGTGCGCTCTTATCTTATCTCTTATCTCTTAATTTCCTTTTGCCTTTAAGGTGTGTTGCTTTTTTTTACAGATCCCTTCCTTGTTTCTGTTGCTCTGTTCTTTGAGCTGAGAAATGACAGTCACATAAATTGCAGCGTCGTTAACCTTTACTGAAGGAGCTCACGCTCTAATTAAAAAGTGATGTTCCAGAGTGGTCAGTTGTTATCTCTACTCCTTGTGTCTTCGAAACCTCGCATTTCACTCTTGACAGAAATGTTTCTCTTTGTGTTAATTTAATTAATGTCAGTTCAGTAGACATGCAATAAGTATTGTCTTTTATGCATTCATACATGCAAAGTGTTGTCTAGGGAAACTGAAAGGAAAAAGAGACACATATGAGGGTTTGAATGGAGTAGCACTCATACATAACAGAATGCTGAAAAATGCTATACTATGAAAAGGCTAAAATTATGGTTAGGGCTTTCCAAAAATATTCATACTGATTGGACTTTTTTATGCTTGTATTCAACACATTTGCCTGCACCTTTAGAAGTGGCCTAGTTCGTAAATATATGGCGTGGAATTACCAAAGACCTTAGTGTACCTAGTGTCTACTGCTTTTTTATCACAGGAGGCTATATCCATTCTTAAGATAACTACTGATTGGATTAATGATAAACCGACACCAGTCTGAGTGGCCAGCGCTGACTAATGAGAAGGAGAGTTCTGCCTTGTATAAGCTTTAGATAGACTGGCGACTGGCATGCACGAGCTGGTCATCCATTGGATTGCCTTCTTCTTCTGTTGTCCATTAGCACATACACCGTGTTTCAAATTATTATGCAAGTGATATTTTCTCATATTTTCTTCAATGATCAATGCAAATGATGGTCAGTAAACTGGTCACTTGTGACTTAATCTCTTCTTGGAAGAAAATTATTTCAAAATAATTGTTGGCAGGCTTGCCAAGTTATGAAAACTTTATTTGCATTGGGAGAGTTGAATAACTTTTTTCTGTGCGTTGACAAACCAAATAAACTTTTCACAAATTAGACACTAAGTTTTCTGATATGGTGTAGAATAATCTAATTCATATTAGAACAGTCATATGTATTGAAGTTTTGAAACTAGATCCAATTAAAGATGTTCTAGGTTTTAAAAGATTAGGTAGTAACACCATCTGGAAGCCACCTTCAGCTTTGTGTAATGCATGATGTTTATGCTTGATGTTAAATTACAGTAAAACAATCTGTCTAGTGCATCTGATCAGTGCATCTAATGTATTAACATTTTTATTGACAAAGTTTTCTTTAAATACATATGAATCGTGGGCAACCAGTTTAGGCACATTAGCAGCTAGCTTATGTTAATGCCTACCTATTCCTACAATCTGACAGTATAGGAAGTATGCAATCCAGTCTGTGACCAGCCCAGGCATGCTAATCATCAACCTCTCATTAGGCAGGTCAGTACTCTCCCTCTCATTAGGCAGGGCTGGCCGCTTATTCACTGGTGCTGGTCTATTATTACTCAGATCTATAGTTGGCTTTGAAATGCAGGATGCAGCCTCCTGTGACATGGAAGTAGCCTCTAGAGGCAATAGTCTAAATTTTTGTCCTTATGCCTGCCGATTAATAAAGTCCCTTTGTGAGTTCTTTAATCTAAGAACAAAGCTACACAGTGATGGCAGTTACTTTGAAAAAGTAACTTTAATCAGATTATTGATTACTCCTTGAAAAAGTAACTCGCATTACTGACTACTTGATTTAGAAAGTGACTAAGCTCCATTAAAAATAACTTTTTTAGTTACTTTCAGTAGCTGCTAACAACAACAACACTCCGCCACCTGTAAAAATGACATTTTTTACAAGTTAAACTTAATTACAAGTTATTTTATAATGGGAACATCAACAATATGACTCCACTCATAAGGTTTAGCTGAAGAGAAGATTTTTTTAATCTCCTCTTTTAATGGTTACAACAGTACAAAAAAAAGTGTTAGTAATGTGTGTGTGTTTTTGTGTTCTCCACTATTGTCTGAAACTCTATGAAAGGATTATAAAGCTCCCATGTCTCCCCCCAGCCTCCAGGTTGTGCGTTACGGCTCTGTGTTTGCTGTCAGAGTGCATAGAGCTCTTCCTGCCGCTCCACAACTCAGATGTCCCACTGCACAGATTAATGAGACTTATCTTAATATTAATAATTATAATGTCTTTTAGTTGTGCGTTTAGTTGTGCAACTAAACGCACAACTAAACAGCCATTCATGGCTGTTTTCACGTTTATTGTGCTGTTCAGATTAGTCTTGATGTTTCCAATTGTCTGGATAGTTTGACGTAATTCACAGGTAATATATTAACTTGACATTAACAAAGACACAGCGGGACAGATCATCCAGGAAATGACGGACAGGGAGAGTCTGACGAAAACTACCTTTATGACAGAAACATTCTGGGGTTTATTATGAGCCTCTGCTTATTTCCAAGCCCAAATGAATAATGTCATGTTCAAAACGAGCCCAGACAGGCAAAACCCACGACTAATCGGACTTGGCGACAAGAATTCAAAATGGTTCCTGTTTTTCTACAAACAAAATGTGCATCTCCCTCCATTGTTCGCATTTCTGTCGTTGGTGATTTTGTCGCATAAAGACGTTGGTCGACAAGACGCGGAGAGGAAATACAATTAAATAACAAAAAAAGACAGTAACGCACAGTATCACAATGTGATTTTGATAAGTAACTGTAGTCTGTAGTCACAAAGGACAAGGGATACAGCAGATGAGTCAGGGATAAAGTCCTCTAAATTTAATGAGGGTTAGGTTATGAAGCTTTGAACATCTCCCAGAGCACTGTTCAATCCATTATCTTAAAATGGAAAACCTGACAAGAGCAAATCTACGAAAACATTTCCACCTAAAATGACAGGTTGGGCAAGGAGGGAATGAAGACAAACAGCCAAGAGGCTCATGGTAGCAGCAGACATCCACAGTTCAGGTGGAAGTCTCTCAAAAGGAACAACCATTAGTCATGATCTCCACAAATCTAGCCTTTATGAAAGAGCGGAAAGCAGCAGGGCATCTTTGAAAGAACACCAAAGAAGCCTTGTTTGTGGTTTGCCACAAACTATGTAGGGGACATAGCAGACATGTTTCCCCACAGTGAAAGATGGTGGTAACATCTTGTGCTGTGAGCCTTTCTTCAGCAGACGAGAGAAGAGAGAAGCAGGCCAAAGTTAATGAGAAGGTAGATGGAGCTAAACACAGGGAACCTATTGGAAGCTGCAAAAAAACTGAAGACTTTGGTGTAGCCTCCCCTTCCAGCAGGACAGCGACCATAAACATACAGCCTGCACTATAATGGAAGGGTTTTGATCATGTATTAGAAACTTCAAGTGAAAGTCCAGACCTAAAATTTATTGAGAATATGTGGTAAGACTATCAAATCTATGTACAGCTTTTCTCCATCCACTGTGACTGTGCTTGGTTGCTTGAGTTGTTTTGCAAAAATAAATGGGCAAAAATGTTAGTCTTTGGTTACCAAAAGATGGATTTTTATTTGCAAAAACATTTGAAAACCATTCTTATGGGGTAGGTAGGCAACCTATTTTCAGCCAGATTACTCGTTTAGGGCTGTAGATTTCTGAAGACGTCAGTTTTCACCATTTCAATTCCTTTTCAGGATCTCGGCTGCGCCAAGAGGACACCCCACCTAGGATTGTAGAGCACCCTTCTGATCTGATCGTATCCAAAGGGGAGCCTGCCACGCTCAACTGCAAGGCAGAGGGGCGGCCAGCTCCAACGGTGGAGTGGTACAAAGATGGTGAACGGGTGGAAACGGACAGGGACAATCCCCGCTCCCAACGCATGCTGCTGCCCAGTGGCTCCCTTTTCTTCCTGCGCATCGTCCACGGACGACGGAGCAAACCGGACGAAGGTTCCTACGTGTGCGTTGCCCGCAACTACCTGGGAGAGGCAGTGAGCCACAATGCCTCGCTGGAAGTAGCAAGTAAGTGCCGCACGTCTTCTGGTTTCTTTCTCCCTCTCCACTGCTGAGTGCGAATAAAGACTTCTGGTTTCAGATAGAGCTGAATAGCAGGCTCCAGTTTCGTCCACCATTTCTGCTCTCAATGTGTTCATTGAGTTGGATAATCTCTCAGGAGATGGGCAGGATGTGTTTGGCCCAGAGGTCTCGGCAAGGCCTGTGGAGCCTTGGGGGGAGAGGTGGTCTGATCATTCCAGGGTGAGCGCTTCACTAAAGGACCCCTTGGTAGGTGGTCAGGAGCCACAATAGGAACAAAGGCCTTTCTGTTTTGGCACTGCTTCTGCTTTTTTTTGGGTCACAGAGATAGATATGAGGCTTTTATTCTGAAGCCAATGCAATCGTTGCATCTGTGTCCAGCCACCTTTCGATGCAGAGGTTACTTACTCAGTTTCTTGAAGTACCAGAGACGGATACCGTTTGATATGCTCTGATTTAGTGAAAAGGGGATTCCAGCACATGCAAGGTCAGCTAGTAAATATTTGTTCAAGCACTACGTGAGTTTCTAAAATATATCACAGTTTTTGCCTATCGCATTCAATGTTGACAAATTAGTTTCAAAGGGGCCCTTCAGAAGCGACTTTCGTCAGTAAGGTCAGCATTTTAGACATATTATCTCTTTCCGTCTTGACTGGCTGAGAGTGCGGGGCGAGGAGGACGGCTCACATATCAACCGCTCCTCAAGCATGCCCAGAGGCTGTCACCAACCCGCTCGCTGTAATCTAATCAAGATGGGGAAAAGAAAGAATGGTACGTGTGTGTGTGTGTGTGTATGCATGCGTGCGTGTGTGTGTGTTGACTGCATTTAGGTGTGAATGACTGTGGAGTATAGTGGGTGGGGTAGTGGACTGCTTTTGGACTCTGCAGAGGCTGATTTTGAGGTGCCTGCTGAGTAGTTTGCAATTTTACTGTAATGGTCAACTGTCTGGTTTCAGATGAGACATAACACCTTAACTTGGAGTATGTTGAACTCGTAATGTACAATGCCTTAAGCGAAAGCATTTATATCTCTTCAAATGTAATATCAACTATTACAGGATGTATATGGAGGGGTCTATAGTTAAAATGTGAGATTTTAACTATAGATTTAATTTTTTAATTTACATAGCAGAGAAAAACAAGGTTGAAGATAATTTATGACAGGAAGACATTCTTGGTCCCTTTACTCTGGTACTCTTAAAATAATATATAGTAAAATTCTGAAGTTTGGAGACTATTCTTTCAAGACTATGATAAAAACTAGCAAGAAAGGCACTTTAGAGACCAGTGGTAATGCTCTTGATGAAACAATTTTACTTTTAACACTTAACAAGTGTGTAAAAATTAACACACTCGTGTTGCCGTTTTCTTACAATTGCAAGACAAACGGCATTGTAAGAAAAAGATAAAAACACAAAAGAATGCTGTATTTGTAATTTGCTTCCAGACATGTAGGCGATATTCACACACATGGTTTTCTAGTCAAAGTCTTTTGATTTGAAAGCTTTTGTCAAAGTTTTAATGAAGACCTACATTCTGTTGAGAATCTGTGGTAAGACTGAAAACTAATGACCACGGATGTTCTCCATCCTGTATTGCTAAATTTGAATTACTTAGTAAAAAAAAACAAAAAACTAATGAATAGGTTTCAATTTTCTTGAACTTTTTGCTATTATGCATTACGTTTTGTTCTATCATATAAACTTCCAATAAAGCTCATTGGCATCATCAATAATTGTAGGATAATATATTCAAAGTGTTCTAAATTTACATTTTATATCTTACTGTAACTTTTAGACGGTCTTAAGGCTGCAGATATGCAAAATGAACACATTGCCCAAAAGGCTGAAGGTCTTTTGGGCAAATGAAACAGAATCATCATTTCAATATTTACAGATATGTTCTAATGTCATGACATCAAAAGATGTGTTGTTTTGTTGTTGTTTTCTTTAAGTTGATCAATACTTTTGCAAGGCATTGTATATTCCAAAATTGTGAAAAATGCAGTTTTACGGATTTGGCTTAGCATGTTTTCACACATATTTGAGCTGCAGCGATTTCTCCCCTGTATTTGAGACTTTATGCTGTTTATGTATGCGGTGAGCTTTTCAACTTGAAAAAAAGGAAGACTTTTGGCAAGAAACGGGAGCAGAGTACAAAGTACCACTGGCTCAGTCTCAAGTTTAGGCTGCTTATTTTCTGCAAGGTTCAAACAGACCAGTAATGACAAACCACTACTCCCTAGCACTCTCTCTCTCTCCTCCATGCTTAGAGTATGTCTCTCACTCACCTCTCTCTGCAGCTTATGCTTAACTACATATAATTATGTTGTTTTAGCAACCAGAATGGAAGCCTGTCGACTAAAAAAATGGCAAGAGGAGAGGAAAAAAATATAACAGAAACCCTGACATTTTTTTTAAAGGCTACATTCAAATCCAGAGTGAACAAACTACAAGCCATAAATCTACCTTATGAAGCTAGAAGACGGTTTTATATTTATTTTAGTTCGAGATGTTTGCCATCGAGGTATGCAGTGAGAGCAACAGAGTTCCTTTAAGTTTCAGGTGAAACTCCAAAGAAGGAAGTCTTAGGTTTTAGAAGTGTTTACTTTGCTTTGCTCTCTCTTTCTGACATTAACACCTTAAAGGCTAAAACCACAATTCTTTTTTTGAGAGAGAGAGAGGTGGTTAGCTCAGTATTTACAGTTTCCCTTATGAGCGATTGTTAACTTAATCCAAGTTTCAACAAGTACTGTTTTGCTAGGCTACAGAGCTAGCCCAGCTTGTTTGGTTTATCATTAACTGAATGTACACTTCAGCACACAATCTCCCTATCTCTGGCCTCTGACCCAAAACCTGGACTAACGCATTAGTCATGAATCTTGTTTGTGTTCAAACAAGCGTAGGATTATGTTACCCCCCTCTTACATTGTTGTTTTCTTTTTATTAAATATGTCAACATCCTTTAATGAACTTCCTTCCTACTTGAGGACGTGCGACTGATAAAAGAGTAAGACCCAAGAAAAGCATGTTCCACATTGGCAGTGATGGAGGAGGCACATTTTAAGTGAAACTTTCAAGTAATTATGCTAAACAAACATTTTAGACATTTTTGAACAATGGTAGCGAAATTTAAATTCAACCATTAAAGGCAACAAAGGAAATTACTGCAGGACACCTTATCAACTATTACAGGATGTATATGGCGGCGTTATTATTCCAACCTTTTCAGCTGTGTTCAGGCTTGTAGCTTATGATAATCGTACTGAGTAGTTGAAATAATGTAAACAAACAACAACAAAAAACACAAGAAGAAAAGAAAAGTAAGCTTAAGAATGCCTGAAAAAGCAAATTAACATTTATTCATGCCAAAAGCATTTATAGCAAGGTTTTTTGCATCTATTTGACTCAATAATGTGAAGATTTATATACCAGTTTTCTCAGCAAAGAGGCTGTACACTATGCACTATGTGCTTTATTATAAAGCACAAAAAAGTGCTTTATAATAATAAGCAATGCATGAGTGGCCCGAGTCTGACTGTTTTACACATCAGTCCAAGGTTTTCTCTTTGGCGGTCACTGACACTACAGTGATGTAGCTGTCAAGGCATCATCCCGTCAAACTCAGCAAGTTCATCTGCAGATAGTTTGTGCAAAACATAAATTGGCCCTAAAAGTCACTTCAAGCTAAGTCTCTATATTGTAGCTTGAAGGGAAGTTAAACTAATCGTACATAATCTGCATTTGAATACTTTATTTTTCTCATGCACAGAAAAAGATAAGCTTCAGCTAATTACTTTAAGAACATGTTGTTTTTTGATAAATTTATACTCCCAAGCCACAGTCACCTCAGCATCTTGTCTGTTTACTTCCTGCTCGAACTGTTTGTTCCAGCAAAAGCATTAACTGTGCAGTTCGATTTGTATGTCTGTATATTACTTGTGCATATATTATTGCCCATGACTCCAGTCTCTTTTGGTTTCTTTTTAAAATGTGTATTAAGATCGTTTGTCTTCTTTTAAACCCAAATGGAAAGCTTATCTTGATTTATGTTTCATGTGAATTTTTTTCACGTAATTTGATTTCTGTTTCAAATCAAATTACAAGTGTTTTGTCAGTACATGGTTTTTGATTAAAATGCAATTAATGTTGGTTAATTAATTTCAGACAGTACTCGATTAAAACTTTTAATGGAGTCCCATCACTAATAAAAGCATGTTGAGGTTTGTGGTTTACAAAAGTGAAAAACTTCAAAGAGTGCAAGTAATTTTACAAAGCAAAACAGATTCTTGAAAAGTCACAGATCTTTTTGTTTTTTTTTATTCCTAATCATTACCACATATTTAGCTTTTAGCACCAAGGCTAAGGATGGAGGGCTTTACAGAATTTATGGTTTTGTGCCTCCGCATTTGTTTAAAGATTATAAACGACCTCATAGACACAAAGAGATATGTGTTCTTACTATATAATCTTTACCCAGCACTCTGCCTGGGGCTCTGAGAGGCTCTATGAATAGCTTGTTTCCCTTTTTCTGGATGTGGAGATAGTAAAGTGAGGTAATGGACGGCACACTGCACCACTTGAGCGTGCGATAACCTCGGGGCTCGAGTTTTGTCTAGTGGCCTGGCTGACTACACAGTGTGGACCGCACAAGGTTGGCCGCGGGACCTCACATCCACACGCAGATGCCTCACACCAGAGGCAGAGTTTACTTTTCACAGCCACTAACAACAGAAGTAGAAGGATGTTTACATGAGTTCGGTTCACTGCATGAAACTCTCCTCAGCCAAGTTTATCTCACCATGACGTTGATGTCTGTGCTGTTGAAAACTCTGCCGCCGTATGAAAACAGCTGGCTTCAATGACTATCTGATTATTGGGAAGGGGGAAGGTCAACATGTCAGAAGTCTTGAGGCGAAGGGGGTCCGTCCCAGCAGATTTTGTGTCATCTGTTGCGTGGGGAACAGTTGGCTGGCTCGCACCGGTCTA